TATTGTTTTTCTTTATTAATTTTACTTAATAATTAATTGTAAATTTTGCATTTTTCATTTAGACTACATTTGTTTTTTTTATTAAGTTATTATTAAAGTATAAATGTTAAATAAAAAAAATATAGTTTTAAAATATGAGATAAAAAACACATTAAATCATTCAAACAGTTAAATAGTACTTTATTTTAAATACTACATAATCCATAAATCTAAATATTAAAAAAAAATAAAATTGTATACATTTATTATAAGTGTATACAATGACAGCTATGTTTCTGCATATATGACCCGTAAATGTAAATAAAATGGTTTTCTTTATTTAAACATTGAATATAAATATCTTCAATCCGTGTCCTAACCATTATATGATAAATTAAATATTTTGTCTCTCTATACATATTGCCATTGCTTATCAGATAAATGTTACGCAAGTATCGCAATTTGGCCAACAATAGGATGACTTCCTGACCTATCGACGCTTTGGTACAGTGTATGTACTGTAAACGCGGCAAATGTTGGTCAATGTAACGAAAAAACCGGTCATCAAATACACTCCAATCGTTAATCGTAAGCTTTAAATGTGTCAATCGTTTTAAATTGGCTAACAATTTGATTGTTAACTCAATTTTGTTATTATAGTTATAATTATAATAACTATTATAATTATAGTCTAGTGATAATCGTCTCAATTGTTTTGAAATATGTTCACCGATTGTGGCAAATATTTTAATAATTGAGTCCCGATTTACTTTAATTGATTTCAAATCCAGTGATTTAAGATGACAACAGTTGCGGCCAATTTGTACCAACAAATCAATAGTCATATTACTGGTGAATAACTGTGACGATTGGATCTTCAATTGTCTTAATTGTGTCATTTTTGACAATCCAGTGATCAATAATTGACAATTCTCTTCAGTTTTTACATTATAATCTATAATTATATCCAATGATTGAATTTGTTGGCCATTGGATGTGTTGACAAACTTTACAAACAATATCATTGATTGTTGATTCAAACTAATGTTAAATTGTTGAACTTTTTTTGGCAAATAATTATCATTTTCTTGAATGAATAGATCAGTCAAAGTGATCACAGATCTACAACCATATCTGATGTCCAATGTCTTCAAGTTTGGCAACCAATTGACAATTTTATAAAATATATTTACATTATTTTCTTTGTTGTGTCCCTTAAACTTGAATGATTGCAACTGTTGGTCAAACTTGAGGCAAAACTTATTGAAACATTCATCAGTTAATAGCCAATGACTATAATGACTGATATTAATAGATATGTGTTTCAAGTGATGACAGTTTATGACCAGTAAGTCGAGGTAACCATCAATCAGACCAACAAAACTTATGCTAACAGTTGTAATGTTTGGACACTTTGTGACAATTGATTCAAACAATTTTACTTCTTTTTGATGATCATTGTATGATACAAATCCTATATTCTTGAATAAGTCGTAATTAAATACAAGATTAGTTTGTTTAGTGAATATCAATCGCAACCATTGTTTGGACACCGATTGTAGTCTCCATTTGTCATCAATCGGTAGATAATTAAGCAATACTTCAGTCAAATCATCGCCGAAGCGATCAAACGAGTCATTCTTCATTAACATTGTTGTCATTTGGTAATCAAAAAAAAATTACTTCAATTTTTTTATTATAAACAAAATATTTACAATTAATTTAATTAAAAAACTTTTTTATTTAATTTTTAATATTATAATAATTGAATTAAAAATGATATATTCAATGTGTTTATTTAATGTCTTGAATAATTCATAGAAAAGGCGATCACTTTTATCGTATATATATATTTAAACTTTATATATATATTACAGTATATTAAACATTGAAAGTCTATTAATTAAACAGTTGCAGTCATACTGTATGAAACAGATATATAAAAATTTTATTAAAATTTTTTAATCCTTAATCCTGTTTATTAAGTTATAGACTATAATTGTGATTAAATATTGTAAATAAAATAACTACAGTAAATAACTAACTTATAGTAATACTGTAGTTATTTTAATCACAATATACAATACATTACTTAAATAGACTAAGATTTAAATCGGTGTCATTGTCCTCTCAAAAAAATAAATAGTTTATTAACAATTAAATTAATAAACTGTATTTACATTTTTGCTAATATTTTCATATATATTAAAAACTAGATAATATTTATTATTATAATTATTTATTTTTTTATACAATAAACATCTAAATTATAATATTAATAGGATTTTCATTATTATTATTATTATTATATTATTATTATTATTATTATTATTATTATTATTATTATTATTATTATTATTATTATTATTATTATTATTATTATTATTATTATTATTATTATTATTATTATTATTATTATTATTATTGAAACTAATAAAAATTTCGCAAATATTTAGAAATAACTATTGATAACTTAATTCAATGAAAAATATTTATTATTTTTATTTTTATTATTATTATTATTATTTTTATATAGTAAACATATAACTTATAATATCATAATTATATTCTTATAATTATATGATTTCGTTAGCTTTATTATTGACAATAAATTATCAATAAATATAATGTATATATATATATATATATATATATATTATTAAAATAATAATTACTAGAAATAATTTAGAGAAATAAATAACTAAAAAAATATGTTAAAATTTTATTTTCTAATTAGTTTATATGATTTTATTTACATTATTTACTGTATATTAATAGTAAATACTGTATTATTATTATTGTTAAAAAATAAATATAATTATGATCTAAAAAAGTAATCTTAAGATTTTTTTAGTTAACTTTTATTCAATACTAAATAGAAAGTAAAAACTCAATAAAACTAGTATTTTTATTATTTAAAAATTTAATTATATTTTATATTCCGTAATAGTAGTGCAATAATAGAGTAGTTTTTGAATAACACAATTTTATTACTACTACTAATACTACTAAAATATTTTTAACTTATTATTATATTAAAACTAATAAAACAAAATTATAAGATTACTATTAAAGTTAATATACTTTTTATTAAAACTAACTGTATTTGAATTTTTAATGATGTATTTTAAATAATAAAGTAAAATTACATTAAAATATAATATTCATAATCTCATATATATATATATATATATATATATATTAATTTCATTTAATAAGTTAATTACTATAGTATATTTATAATATTAATTTACAGTTATATTAAAAATAAGTTTTTATAGTAAAACATTAATAATAATCATTTTAATATTGAAACTACTTGTTATGAAAATAATCATTATTTCAATGCTTTATTATAATTTAATAATCATTTTAATATTAAATTATAATAGAGCATTGAAATAGTGATTATTTTCATAACAAGTAGTTTGAATAGTATTCAACAACAAAAAACAATGAATAATAATAATAATAATATTTATGTCACTAAATATTTACCGATAAATATTGTCTATAAATCGGCGGCATTTCATTTATATCGTATTGGATTATGTAATGAATTAATTGATGAAAATAATAGTGAATTTCAAACTAGAAAATGGTTTAATAAACCTATTTATCAATTTATAACATTCAATATCTATCTAATTCAACGATTAAGCTGTTTGTTTGCTAATAATAACAATAGTAGTCAACAACAATATTATGCACTGTTAGGTGATTGGAGTTATTTTATTGGTATTAAAATCATTAATAATATAATGTTTATATTGGTATCACTATTGGCATTGGCATCACAATTGACTTTTAGCTGGAATTATATTAATGATATAAAACCGACATTTTTGTTAGTTTTCCAAATGATGTCCGGTTTGGTAACACCCGTCAGCTTAGGATTTACCGATCGCTTAGCTATTAGTAAACTAATCAAACAAATGAGATTTATGTGTTGGTTTAGTCGGCTAAACAGTGAAATTAATATACAAATTGTTGCATTATTTTCCATATTATTACCATTTCTGATCAAACTATCAATTAGAAATGCTTTAGTCTATGGTATACCTAATGCTATGTTATTCATGCTATGGTCCTATTACTGGTGGAATAGTATAACATTTCAATTGTTATATTTTAGTATTTTATGCAAATATTTGAAATACAAATTAAATAACTTATATAATTGTTTAGCTAATTGCCGACAACACAATAGACTAACAATTTATCAGAAATTTGATCAATTATTTGTTGAAATCAATGACTATAATATAACATTTTGGTCAAAACTATTGCTATATTTTTGGATGATTTTCGGTTTGGCTGATATTATATTGTTATACAATATGTTTTTCGTACGAATAGATATTATCTCGAAATTGATATTTACTTATGTATTCATTATGTTTACCATAATATTTGTATTTATTATATTTACGACATCATCGTTGACGACTACGGCTAATAAATCATATAAATTATTGAATCAATTTTTTGTTAAAAACAATAAACGAATATTAACTAAGCATAAAATAAAAGTAGATATAAAAATATTATTTTTTCAAAAAATTATAACAAAAATTGTTATATTTGATTATTTTTAATGTTATTTTTATTTTCTAGTTATTGGTATTAATTGAGAGGACGTCCCAAAAAAAGGTTGGCTTTTCGTGTTGGAAATTGTTTACAATTAATTATTTTAGATGTTATAAAGTAAGCATTGTTAATATTTAATTAATTTATTGTTGAAATATTTATTAGTTTTTATTTTAATATATTTATTTATTTTAATTATATAGATTTTAGGATTTTTGTCGCTATTGTTTCTAAAAATTGTTAAGAAAACTACATTAAAACAAAAATTAAATGTAAGTCATGAATAAATATACAATTGAAATAAAATATTAAATGTTTAAATTAAACAAGTTTTGTAATTAGCATAAAAGTTTAATTACTAATTTATATAATCAATATCTATATTAATAAATAAAATATTTTTACATCAATTGTTTACGATAACATTGCGATCATACTATTTGAACCTTAATTTACAAACGATTAACAATTTAATTATGTTTTTATTATATAATTATGTAAATTATCAGAAATAAATTAAAGAAATATTATATATGTTTTTAATATAATTATATATATATATATATATATATTAATATATACTGTAAATGGTTTTGTATATAGCATATTTTATGAATTAATTAAAGTAATATTAACTAAGTATTAAATTTATAATATAGATATTTAATAGCTATTGAACTCATATAAAAAATTAATGGCATTAAAAATTTCTGATTGTAATTAATTTTTTTTTTTTGACAAATAAATTCATATCTATAAAATCATTTAAGAAATTATATTTAATTACAATTAAATGTAATTATTCTTAATATTTAGAAAAAATAAATATGCAAAAAATGCATAAATATTTTTCTACCGTATAAATATAATAATTAGTATATTATTTTTTATAATATACTGTTTATATTTTATATAAATCTAAAATTTTAACCAAAAATAATTTTTTTAAACAATTTTTTCATAAGTTTTGCAACTGTGTTATCTTTGTTAACCGGCAATTCAATAACTTTTTGTTGTGAATTAATGTGTATTTTGTCGCTAATAGACAATTGCATATTAAGCAACTCCTGTATCTTTTGGCCATTTAATGGCAATTCATACAATTTAGTCACACATTGTTGAATGTCATCCAAAGTGATGGTACAGTAGTTTTTGTCTCCCCTTTTCATTGACTCCAATATAACACGTTTTTCGTGTCGGTATTGTTGTAACAACTGTTCCAATTGTTCCACGGATTGTCGTCGTCGACTATCACCCGACGACACAAATGTTTTGACGCGCTTTTCATTTCTAATTAAATATTTGACGTAATCTTCGAAAGCGTCGTTAAACGGTGTCATTGCGTTGTGTTTGAGAAAAGCGGCAAACTTTGCCATACAATCGGTTATAAATTTACTCTCATTTTCGTATTCCGATTGTCTGTTCATCAATTGTCCGACAATTTCTTCTTTAGCTTCGATTGCCTTCTGATTATCGGTTATCTGGTTATACTTACTCTCATCCCTGCACTTTGATTCTACTTTATTAGTCTTATATTTTACGTGTAGATGTGTTTGATAACAGTGTTGGCATTTTTGACAATTGTCATGTTTGATGCGTTTAGATTTACATACAGTCATGAGTCCAGTTTCCGGGTCCACGTTATCCATATCATTGTCCGGATACAAGTTTGCATCTTTGGGGTTGACCTCAAAATAGTCACCTTTAATATATATAAATAAACAAATTTAGCAATATTTTTTAAAAATACGATAATTTTAATAAAAAACAACAAAACACTTACTTAATCTTTTATATTCATTGAATGCTTTACAGTCCAGAAAGCCTTCATTTCCGATAACATTTCCGTCGTCGTACTTCAAGTAACAGATTTTGTGACAAACTTTATTATAATGTTTGACTACCTGTCCGTTAATATTCATTAGTTCACAACAATCCTTGTCCGAGCATACAGTCATCGGATGATCCAATGGTATGGACTTGATATCAATAACTGGTATATAAAGTTCGCATTTCAGTTCTTCAATTGTACCCTTAAATTGCAAAATATTTTCTGTCTGTATCTGACATTCATTGATATTATCGGCAATATTTTTACTAATATCAGCCAACGGTTGTGTCAACAATTTAATGGTACGTTTGGCCTCATTGACGCTTAGAGTGTCCTTAACATTGTGTGGCTTTACATCACATATGTATTGCATCATTCGTAAGCATTCATTGACTGATCTATAATAATAAATATTATTTATAAAAACTTGATAATATAAAAATATACGATAGTTAATTAGTATAGATAACAAATATTTATATAAATATATATAAATCAATATATATTTACATTTCCCAACTATCTTTAAATAACTTTTGAATATTTTCGTTAAACTTAATATTATTAGGTTTACTGACGGCCACTAAATAACGATTCGTTATCGAAACAAAATGTATTACTTTTGTCAAACTTGATCCTAACATATGGCGGATGCTGTCGTATCTGTTCCAACACAGCCTCCAGAGATACAGTTGTATCTCCCGGTGCATAGAAAGTGCTCCGAGCGTTGGTAAACACAAACATTATGTTATCGGCGGCCGATTTGTTTAAATGAGACAACAACTCATATATACAATACTTGAATAATTCAGTAACTCTCGACTCATTTGGCTTTAATAATACAAAAATACCATTAATAGTGTCGTAATTTGAAATAAAATTAAGAATATTCTGCATATTTCGGTTGTCTTTATCCAAACCGTTAGTGTCGGCCATACCGGGTGTATCGATAATATTGAGCCGATAAGTGCCAAAATCAAATGTATAACATCGGGGGTATTGTGTAGCAGATTCACTTACATTATCAGTATTTTCCGTATCACTCGGCGTACCAAACGTACAAACCTTACGGACTCCGGTCTGCCAATCGGTTAATGTAAACTTTGCGGGTATCAAACAAATTGGTTTTTCTATTGCGTCGTCCATTTTGCCAAACAGTAGATAATTGACAAATGCATTGATAAATGTTGATTTGCCGACACCGGTCTCTCCCAATAGTAATAGTGTTATTTGATTGTGATTTTCAAGTTTATCCTTAATTTACAGAAAAATTTATTTCTTGTACTAATAATCTTAAAAACATTTAAATAATTTATATAACATACCAATTGGTTACTTAATGTTAGCGATTTTATAACCGCATCATTAGACTGACTAACATTTTCTTGATTATTGTCTTCAGTATTATTTTCTTTTATTAAATTATTGAAAAATATTAAACAATAATATAATTTTACGGTATTTTATTTTACGGTATCATATAATAAATCATATTTAATTTGTTTTATACTATTAATTATTTGCAAACCTATGTCCATATCAATTGGTTCCTCAGCTATTGGTTTGTTATTGATTTCAGTATTCGTCGTCTTAAAGAACTCTTTAAGGACTTCAGCGACGGTATCATTTGAGTCGTCGTCATCATCGGTACCAATAATATCCAACTGATTGAGATTTATTATTTTATCTGATTTGTCACAATGAATCAATTAAAAAAAATATATTTTATGTAAATAAATACAAGCTATTATAAGACTTTTTAGTAAAAAATAGTAATTAATAATAGTGTTTGAATGATATTAAATAATTATAATAATTATATATTTATAACTAATTATTCATAAAAGATTTTGCTATATATTTAATATGTTTTGCAAACCTATATTAGTATCAATTGTTTCCGTAGTCGACATTTCGGCTATTGTTTTGTCAATGATTTCAGTATCAGTTTGATATTCAATCAATTTGTCACTATTTGAAGCTATAATAATGTTATATTAAAAAAATATTTGTTAATTTTAAAATATATATTAAATATATCAAAATATTCAGACCATTTAAGTTTGAATTCAACGGTTCCTTAGTCGACATTTCGCCAATTGATTTGTCACTGGTTTTTGTATTTTTAAGATTTGATATTAAGAACTTAATATTTAATATACATAATATATGATTAAATTAATATAGCAGACAATAAATTAATACAATTTATTATATTATTATTGTTATTAAGTTTACAAACCTATGATCACATCAATTGGTTTAATTGTCGGTAACTTAGCAGTAGGTTTGTCATTATTTTCAGTAATACCTAATTTTGACTTATTTTTGTCATTTAAATTATGTTTTTAAAAAAATTAAAATAATTGAAGTATTATATACATTATTCTTTACCTGATTAGTTAAATTATCAGTCAATATGATGGTTTTATTTTTATTAATATTTAATTTACTCAATTGGACAATATATTTTTCTAGAAGAGACATATATTTAAATTTTATAAAACTATAAATATATAAAATAAATGTAAAAATTTGTATTTTTAACAACTTTAAAAAAACAATACTAATTAATAGTAATATATTTAATGTGTTTTTATTGACAAACCTATGTTGAGATCAATTGTTTCCGTAGTCGACATCTCGGCAATCGGTTTGTCATTGATATCAGTTATACTTAGTTTTTGTTTCTCATTATTTTCGGTTAATTTTTTCTCCAACAAATCAATACACTTCTGGACGTCGACAACGGCTGCTCTACGGGCCATACGGAGGACATCACCATTGCTGCCGTCGGTGTCAATAATGTACAGTCTGGTCATACAACGGCTAAGCGTGTCATTCAAAAATCTGTATTTCATATTACGATCGGTTCCCTTAAATTCAATGATCTCTTCATTCAAATCATTCAAATCATTTAATATTGAATTGATTTCATCCATTAAATCCACTTCTTCGGCATTTATTGCCGCCATTTTTGGATCTTAAAATTTAATTATATAACAAATATAATATTATGAATATAATTAATACTCTCATTATTCAATTAACAATACAAAAACTAAATTAATTTAATTCATATTATTGTACTATAATATACTAAATAGTAGAAATTACCTTAAAAACTTAATATAATTATGAATCAATTAATTAATTATTACTAAAAATAACAATTATATAAATATTATACACCAAAAAATAATAAGTTATACTAAATTATTTTACAAAATTCAAAACAATGCAAAAACTAAATGAATACTAAATCATTTTATTTCTTTAAAAATGGTATCATATATATACTACAATAATGTAAATTTAAACTCTTAGATAACCATAATATATCATATATTTTATATAATATATATATATATATTATTATTATTATTATTAAATTTATATGTAATTAATATGTAAGTTTATATTAAATTATTGTATGTTTTTTATGAACTTTGAATTTATAATAATAGTCAATCATACTTCACAAAATTATGATAATAATAGTTTTATAAAATATTACAATTATATTTTGTCAATTAAATATAAAATCAAGTTATTCTAATAAAATTAAATAACTTTTTAATACATTATCAAACAATATATCTTTTTTAAAAAAAAACATTATAGTGTTTTATATATGTTCATAATAAAATAAATTATTTATATTGTAGTGTGATTTACATGTGCTTTATATTTGATGACTATATTATTAATAATACCCTTACATTATGTTTTTAATAAGTTATAACTTGTAATTTAAGTTGAAATTAATAAAACGATTGTTTAAAATTTAAAAAAAAATACTAAATATAATTAATATAAGACAAAAAATATGACAAATATTTTATATTAAACTTTGAATATTACTTACATTAGTATTAATTTAGATTCATAATCATATATCAATAAAATCATATAAACTTTGATAATATTATTATTATTTTTTAGTTTAATTAGTTTAAATAAATAAATAAATATGTTTATATACATACTAAATAATGAATGTTTTTAATTATGTTTATTAAATCAATTTTAATTTATCAATACTTATTGAATTAAAAATTTTCAACAAAACATACTAATGAAAAATATTTTAGTTTCACATCAAATATATACAATTAAATTGTTATTTGAATTTAGTTATAGTCTTACAGTGAAATATAATCTTTTACATAATTACAAACTATACAATAATATAATTTGAATCAATGTTTACTTTATAAATTAAAAAATAATGCAATCATAAACTAATGTATATACAGTATATGTTGTACAATATTTTTTTAAAAAATTATTATATCTTATTACTATTGTATATTAATTTATATAAAATTAATTTTTAAAATACATAAATAAAGTAAATTATATACTTTAAAATAATACATATTTATTTCACTTTAATTAGACAAAATTAATAATTTAATATTAACATTTTACAAATAAAAAACATAAAAATTAAAAATATTAGATTGTCTATTAAAACAATTAAATTAAAAAAAAATCAAATCATAAGTACAACTAATTTGATATTTAAATACTGATATTCTCAGTAAATACAGTGAAATACAATACTTTATACCGGCCGATATCATTCAAGTGATTTCTGATTACTTTTGATTAAAATGCACTGTCGAAGCTTATGGTTTATTAAAATATATTTCATCTAGCTCAAATACACTGTTACATATTTATTTTAATTAAGTAGTATATTTTATTTAATATTATATAAAAAAGGTTATTAAATTTGTGTATTAGAATTTTTTTGTTTTTTATCTTGGTCAGTAATTATGTTTTTAAGTAAGGGACCGTATAATAATCGTGATATCGCCTGCTTTATACAGTATACACTGTACATACAATTTAACTGAATGTTTATTTATTAAACCTAAAATAATGCAATTATATTGTATTTATATGATATACATACTGTAATTTGTGTGTGTGTGTGTGTATGGCAAATTGTGTGTGTGTGTGTGTGTATTTGTGTGTGTGTGTATGTGTTTGTGTGTGTGTGTGTTTGTGTGTGTATTTGTGTGTGTGTGTATGTGTTTGTGTGTGTGTGTGTGTGTGTGTGTGTATGTGTTTGTGTGTGTGTGTGTGTGTGTGTGTTTGTGTGTGTGTGTGTGTGTGAATAAAATTGGTAATATTTATAATTTTATAAGAAAAATTGTTTGAAAGTTTTATAAACAATTTTACCACTTTTGGTAACTTTATTGGCCACATTTTGAACACTTTTAACAATACTCTTATTTGTGTTGACCGGCACTTCAATGACATGTTGTTGAAAATTACTGTATACTTTGTGGCCAATCATTAATTGCATATTCATTAACTGCTGTATCTTTTGGCCATAAATAGGCAATTCATACAATTTATTCACTGAATTGTTAATGTCATCCAAAGTAACGGCTGAATACTTGTCTCCCTTTTTCATTGAATCCAAAATAACACACTTTTCGTGTTGATATTGTTTTAGCATTTGTTCCAATTGTTCCACCGATTGTTTACTTTCTTCCGGAACGAGTGACACATTGTATTCTTCGACTTTAATCAGATGTTTGACGTAATCCTCGAAAGCGTCGTTAAATGGGGTCAATGCGTTGTGTTTAAGAAAAGCGGCAAATTCTGCCATACATTCATTAATAACTTTGCTTTCATTTTCAAATTCAATTTGTCTGTCCGCCAATTTTGCTACAATTTCCTTTTGTGCTATCAATGCCTGCTGTTTATCAGTAATTAGGCTATATTTGAACTCATCTCTGCGCTCTGAGTCGACTTTTCTGGTCTCGTATCTGACATGTAAGTGTGTTTTATAGCTGTGTCCACAGTGTAGACAATTATCATATTTTTTGAAATTATCATTGAATGCAATACAGCCTAATATACCGACATTTCCGACAACATTTCCGTCGTCAAATCTTAGGTTGCAATGTTCGTGACATAATTGCCGATAATGTTTGAATGTCTGGCCGTCAATCACCACAATCTCAACACAATTCCTATCTTCGCAAACAGTCATCGGATAGTCTAACGGTGTCGACTCAATCTCGACAACTGGTATAAAGAGTTCGCGTTTTAGTTCTTCAATATTGCCATCAAATTCTTCCATTTTTTTCTTTCGTATTTCGCATTCGTTGATATTGTCGGCAATATTTTTGCTGATATCAGCCAACGGTTGTGTCAACAATTTGATGGTACGTTTGGCTTCATTGACGCTTAGAGTATCCTTAACATTGTGTGGCTTTACATCAGTAATATATGTCATCATTCGTAAACATTCATTAACTGATCTATAATTATAAATATAAAAATAATAGTTACTTAATGTTATATATTGTTTTCATTAAAATTAATTTATGGAAAAATTTTTTTAAATCAACTAAAACTTGTATACCTTTCCCAACTATTTCCATATAATTTTTGAATATCTTCATCAAACATAACATTATTTGGTTGACTGACGGCTACTAAATAACGGAACGATTCGTTATCGAAACAAAATCTATTGGTTTTGTCAAACTTGATCCTAACATATGGCGGACTCAGTTTGATCTTTTCCAGTGCAGCCTTCAGCGGTACCATAGTATCTCCCGGTGCGTAGAAAGTGCTCCGAGCATTGGTGAAGACAAACATTATGTTATCGGCGGCCGATTTGTTCAAATGAGACAATAACTCGTTTATAGTATACATGAACTGAGTGGTACCTCTCGACTGATTTGGCTTTAATAGCAAACAAATAGCATTAATAGTATTATAATTTGATATAAAATTCAAAATATTCTGTATATTTCGTTTGTCTTTATCCAGACCGTCAGTATCGCATATACCGGGCGTATCGATAATATTGAGCCGATAGTCGCCAAAATCAAATGTATAACATCGGGGGTATTGTGTCGCAGATTCACTGGTTTTCTTAGTATTTTCTGAATCATTTGGTGTACCAAACGTACACTCCTTATCCAAATCAGTTTCCGGATCGGTTAGTGTGAACTTTGTTGGTATCAAACAAATCAATTTATTAATCGCATCATTCATTTTGTCAAATATCATATAATTGACAAATGCATTAATAAATGTTGATTTGCCGACACCGGTCTCACCCAATAATAATAGTGTTATCTGTGGCTGATTTTTCTATTATTTAAAAAAAATAAATAAATGTATTATGAAATTATAATAATAATTAAAACATCTAAAACAAACTTATCTACCTTTTCGTTTATTGATTTATTATTGTTATTGTTTTGTTTCTCTGAAGTATAAGTAAATACAGTAAAATTTTTTATAACTTTTTTAAAACTATTATTTGATAAATGATTAAACAAAACTTTTACAAACCTATGTTCACATCAATTGATTCCGTAGCCGACATCTGGGCTATCCATTTGTCATTGATTTCAGTATTACTTAGTTTTGTCTCATTATTGTCGACTAACTTCTTGTCCAACAAATCCATACACTTCTGAATGGCGACAACAGTATCCTCGCATAGCTTACGGACCGTTTCGTTGCCGTCTTTATCGATAGTCAACAGTCTAGTCATACAATTGCTTAACATTTCGTCCAAAAATCGGTATTTCATATTACGATCGGTTCCTTTAAATTCAATCACTTCTTCATTTAATTCATTGAAATCATTTAATATTGAATTGATTTCATCCATCGAATCCACTTCTTCGGCATTTTTTGCCGCCATTTTTATCTTAAAATTTAAATATATAATAAATATTATATTATGAGTATAATTAATAATAATTTCATTAAGAAATTAATAAAAAAAAATAAATTTTTATAGATACTCTTGTACTGTACATATTATACACTACATTGTATTACTACTATATATTTTATACAAAAAATAAATTAAAAAAATAAACTTACTAAATTATAATATAATTATGAAATAATTAATTATTTATTGCTACTCTAACAAGTATATAAATATTATACACTATTATATAAGTTAAAATCAATTTTTTACAAAATTCAAAACAATGAAATAACAAAATGTAGGCTAATTGATATTATTTTAATAAAATTTATTTCATTAAATCAAATATACAGTACATTAATGTAAACTTGATATTTAGATATTTCAACTCATAAATAATCATTATCATAGATACAGAGAATTTTTTAAAATTGAATCATAAAATATATATTATTATAGTTAAAATATTATCTTATCCTCGTATTGATAAAAACCCCACTTAAAAATCTAATATGAAAAACAATATAATACTAAATGATTTTATTTATTACTTCTTATTTTATTAAAAATATACTATTAATTAAAATAATTGACATTGAAAATCCAGTGAAAATGCTATAAAGCATAGCCAGAAACAAACTTTGATAGCATAAAATTTTATGGTCTCACATTAATATATATAATAACAATATAAATTAAAGTCATTTGGGGTATCAAATGATTCAGTATAATTAAATAAATACAACTATAGTCATGTGGGGTATCAAAAGATTTAGTTTGACAAAATAATTTCCACTAAGGTCATTTGGGGTGTCAAACAAAATAACAATATTTCAATATAGATCCCCATAGCTCATTTTTGATGCTTTATCAAAATATGAAATCAAAATTTAAAAATTTGCAATTTTGAAATCAACGGACACACACACACACATTTATAGATTTTAGTAAACTATTTTTTTTAAAATAAGTTTGTTTGAATATAAGATTTTACAAAAACGTATTTTTTAAAAATGCAAATTTTTATTGCTATATTTATAAATTATAACTTATTTTTTAAATAAATTATAGAAAAAATATTTTATATCATCTAAAATTTTAATAAATCAAATAAACAGTAACACTGCAGATACAAGTAACTAATATAAATTTATAGCAATTGAATAAATATTATATATCATTAATTAGATTTATATTAAAATTGCTTGAGTAAAAGCAAAAATAACCTATGTTTTAATTAATAGCAAGATATTTTTAAATAAACAGATAAATTAAATATAATTACCAAATAATGAATATTTAATTATTTTTATAAAATCACTTAAATAATTTTAATTTATCATTATTTAATAACTTAAAAAATATTTCAACAAAACATACTAATGAAAAATATTTCAATTTTACATCAAATATATACAACTAAATTGTTATTTGAATTTTGTTATACTCTTACAATGAAATACAATCTCTTATATTATAATCTATAAAAAGATATAATTTAAATGACTGTTTATTTAATAAATTAAAAACAATGCAATTATAAATTACTGTATATTTTATTACTATATAATATTAATATTGTATATTAATTTATATAAAATTAGTTTTTTAAATCTATTAAGTAAAGTAAATTATATATTTTAAAATAATATATATTTATTACAGACTTTAATAATTTAATATTAACATTTTACAAATAAAAAACATAAATATTAAAAAATATTAGATTGTCTATTAAAACAATTAAATTTTTAAAAAATCAAATCATACTTAATATAGTAAGTACAATTAATTTGATATTTAAATACTGATATTCTCAGTAAATACAGTGAAATACAATACTTTATATTACTATACACTGTATAATAAACAGTACATACTGTACTATTTAACTGAATGTTTATTTATTAAATCTAAAATAATGCAATTATCTTGTATTCATATTATATACATAATTATACAACTCTATATAATTTATATTGTATATAATATATTATTCAGTTAAAAATATTTAAAGATATTTAATAACTAATGAAATTATATTTTTAAAAATTTATTCAGTAATTAAATACAAATTTTTAATTATAAAATAGTATTTATTATTCTTTTTTTGTAAATTCTGGTCTCATATTTGACATTCAAGTGTATCTGATAGCTATGTTCACACTTTCGACAATTGCCTGGATTTATACAATCACTGACTAACTTAAACTTTTAAATAATCATAATATATCTCATATTTTAAATTATATATATATATATATTATATTTATATTTAAACAAATATGTAAGTTTATATTAAATTACTGTATGTTTTTTATGAAATTTGAATTTATAATAGTCAATCATATTTCTAAAAAATTATTAATACAGCAAAATCTAGGAAAATTGTTTTATAAAAATATTATAATAATATTGAATAAAGTATTAATTTTGATCATATTTCCTAATAATATATCAATAAAATCATATAAACTTAGTATTATAGTTTTATTTGTATTATCATCATTAAAGTTTATGTTAATCTAGTAAAAGCACAATAATAATATTTATTTTATTATATTAAGTTTCATAAGTATATAGATATTTAAACTATTTTTATAAAATACTTTTATTGATAAATATTTAGCAATTAAATAAATATTAGTGATATATATTATAATGTGTAAACATATTAATTATAAATTAAATTGACATAACAAAACATTTATATTAAAATTACGTGATTAAAAACCAAAATAAATTATGTATTAATTTATAGCAAAATTTGTTTAAACCATAACTCAACTAATATTTAGTGTATACTGTAATTATATTTTTTTAAAATCACATTTTAGTATTAAAAACACTGAAATGTTAACTTAAATAATTAATAATAAACTAAATTAATAAGTTTTTTTAAAAAAAAATAAGACAATGATTGTAACAGTTTGTAATAACAAAGTTATTATAATATCATTTGTGTGTTATTTTATTTTTATGTGTTTATTTATATTACAAAATACAGATAACTCATCTAGTAAATTTTATGTTTATAGTAAATTGTACGAAACTATCAACTATTATAATAATATTAATCAAATTAACAAAACTAGTTATTTCATTGATAAGAATAATAGTAATAATAATAGTACTAATAATTATTTGGTGCCAAATATAGTACACTATATATTGGTCAACACTATTGAGATAACATTTATACACTTTTTGTCGATACTATCGGTGCTGAAGAATCATAAACCGGATGTCGTTTACATTCACTGCAATTGCCGACAATTGACGGGTCAGTATTGGCAACGAGTATTGCGGGTGTCGGACATTACAAAAATACCGATTCAATTAAAAGAAAGAGAAATACCGAAAACAATTTTCGGACAATCGTTTAATCCGGAGTACTATAACTGGCACGCGGGAGATGTGACCAGAGTTCGGGTACTTATCGAATACGGCGGCATATATTTGGACAGAGATGTCTATGTTGTCAACAATTTGGACACTTATCGTAACAATGAAATGACATTGGATTTTGAAAATCCAATCGATTTTATGGGCTCTCAGACACTGATTGCTCGGAAAAATGCAACTTTTATGAGACTATGGCTGGACTCGTATCGTAACTATCGCCGGAACTGTTGGACCTGTAATTCAGCAACAATTCCGACCCAATTGATTGTCAAACGACCCGATTTAGTCAATCGGACAGTTCAGGGAGCGTTCGGATGTAATGTTTATGTTGTCTGTCCACTAGTTTTTCGTAGATATGACAGCAATTGGCGTCAAAAGTTTCAAACGGTTCATCTGTGGATCAGAGGTAACTCATACACCAATGGTTTAGTTTGTTTGCGCAAAAAATCTCAATTCAATCACTTTATTGATGAGAAATATATTTATGCAATGAAACAGACTTTCGGTGAAATGGGCAGAGATTTACTTGACTTTGAGAAACAAATTATAAAATATTAATAGTTTATTAAAATATTATTATTTTAATTTGAATTAAATTTATCTTAAGTTTAAATATAATTTTTTTTTAATTATATTATATAATATTTAAATTTTTTGTTTTTACTTATCATTAACTGTAGTTTTTTACAATATGAATTGTTTTAATAAATACTTAAATAATTTAAACTAAAATCATATTTAAACAAAAAAAAATTAATTAATTTAGTTATATATTATTACTAATTACATGGTTATTATATGTGTTGATACCTGAGCTAAGCATCACTTTATCAATTAACTAATTATCTGAGATCATAGATCTATAGCGACCGTATAGATAGGTTTGCGGTCGATGATCACTATCACTGTACTTAATACACACGTGTCTAACACTGGTATTAACACCAATCAGATGATTGTCGATATAGTCAGGAGAGGGCATAATAAATATGGGTTCACAGTGTAGATAGAGATCAGTTAAGTTTGCTAACTGTGCTAACGATTGTATAGTACCAGCTTTGGTGGTGGCAGTGATAGCAGCTCTGTCCACACGAAGTCGCTTGAGTTGAGGCAGATGTTGATGAATGTCGCGGAAAAACTGGTCACCGATTAACGGACACCGAAATAATACATTAATTGACAGATCGGTCAATCGGTTCATTGAATTTAGGGCAGCACTGATCACTTGATTATCGATAGTACTGTCATATGATACTAGACTACACATGATTGACAATTGTCGCACGTGCGACACGTGTTTGTTTAGTTCGGCAAACAATTGGGGCACAAATGTCTTCTGACAGTTCAGTCCCTTCAAGTGTAGGCCTTGGAGTTGAGGACAGTTGTGATGACCGATAGCCGACAATATCGGCAGAAATAGTTCGCAACTGGCGTTGTATATCAAGTCGATTGTCAATTGTCTTAATTGAGACATTTGTGCCAAACCGGTGACCAACTCATCCGGCGGTGAACTAATCTTATCAATAGTTATGTTCAGTTCAAGCATTTGTTGGCCATAGGTTTCGGCAAATAAGACAAACCACGGCATCAAATGGTTGTTCAGACGTACGGCAAATGAGTTCAAAGTTTTTGGTAAAACATAGCAGAAGTCATCAGTAAATATGAGATTCAAATACAGGATTGTCTTTCGGTTTGCAGTGATGTCCAGTGTCTGTAAGTTTGGCAATAAGTCGATGGCTTTGTAAAACAATTGTCTATTGAGATCGTAGTCGTGGCCGTCAAACTTGAATGTCAGCAATTGGTCGGCAAATGTCAGAAACAATCGGTCAATTGTATTGTCGTTGAGTGTCCGCTGATGACCACCACTACCACTGGTTTCCGATAGTAGACACAAATGTCTCAATTGACGACAGTGTTGGACAAGTAGATCCAGATAACTGTTCATCAAATAGACATCACTGATGATAACTGATGTCAAGTTTGGACACTTTCGGACAATTGACTCAAACAACTTAACAATTTGATTGACAGTCTTGAAGTTGATATCCAGATCTTTACTCCAACTTTTCAATAGTTTGTCATCAAATCTGAGATGTGTTTGTCTAATGAATATCAATGACTGCCACTGTTTGGACACACAATCAAGTCTTAGTCTGTCATTGTTTGACAGATATCTCAGCAATAGTTCAGTCAAATCATCGCCGAAACGATCAAACGAGTCCTTTGCTGTTGTCGTAGTCGTCGTCGTCGACATACTCTTCTCTTCAGTGATGTCTTCAGTTGCGACAAAACTCTTTAATTAATAATTATTTTTAAAAAAACATAAATCAATAGATAATTGTGTCAATCAATCAATTAATATATACAATCAAACACTACATTCAATATCGACAACAATACTATGTGTTTGTAATAATAATAATAATACTTATAATTGATTTGTAAAAATAAATAGTTATTATTGTAATCGTATTATATTTATATAAAAAAATTAATTAATTAATTAATTTAAATGAAAAGTTTAAATAAAGTTTCAAAACAATAATTACTTTTTTTTGTTTGTTTGTTTGTTTACTGTTAATAATAATAGCATATAATATACAGTATTAAAGTACAGTATATGTTAAACAATATCAATAAAAACATTTGTACTTTAATGCCATCTATAGTATAGAATTATTGAATTATTTTTTATAAGTATATTATTATAAGTTTAAATTATTTATTATATTATACAATACCTGTAAATTTATAGTATGTTATTAGTAATAACTTATTACTATTACTAGTAATTATTAATAATAAGTATCCAATAATTATATTGTATTTTATTTGAATGTATTTAAAATCTTTCATTACTAGAAATAATAATAATATCAATATCAATAACATAAAAACAATCTCTCATGTAAAGTATTATGTTATATAATCTTAAATACTTTATTAATAATTAATATGCTTGCTATTTTTTTTAAATAAATAAATAATTGAAAATTTTTAATTTATAAGAATTTTATTTAAATAAATTTTAATTAAAAATTATTTAAATTGATTGAATATAGATATTTATTTATAGAAAATACTTAAATGTATTTTCCAATAAATTACAAAATTCAATAAATATTTATTTAACATTAAAATAAACACATAAAATTATTAATAGCTTATAAGTAAACTATCTATTAATAAATTTTAGGACTGCATAGTATCTCACAAATTTTTGTTACAATGTTTGGTAGCAATGATTAGTATAAATTGATTACATTATTATAAAATTGAAATAATATTATTTATATATAAACTATATTATATTATATAAATTGAGAGAATTTACTTTAATGACAGTACAGTATAGTTGTATTTAAATTCCGTATATATATATATATATATATATAAAAATAATTTGCTATTTTTTAATAATAAAAAAATTAATTTAGCAATTATATTACATCAACATTAAGGTAATAGTTGTTAATTTTATTTATACATATATTATACATAACTATTACTGTATGAAATTGCTTTTAAACACATAATATTAATATTTTATTTTGTCAATTAAAGTAAATAATATTATTATTTCATAATGTATATAATAGTTATTCAATTGATTTATATTTAAATTTAATAATATAATTATAAAATTTAAAAATAAGTTTAATATTTTGTTATGATATATCTATAAATATTATACAATAATAATACTATTAAAGTTTATTAATTATTTATTAGTTAAAACTTTAACTTTATAGTTTATTTTATAAAAAGTAAAAATATTCAAAATTTAATATAAAATACTTAGCTCAATTATGTAATATATTATTTTGTTTATTAAAATTTAATTTTTAGTCATTTATAATTAAACTATATTTTAATATATTTTATTATTGACAATATAAATATCATATTAAAAACAAAATTACAAATATAAATTTATTAATATTTTATTTTAAAATAAAATTACTTATATTTCTATTTAATATTATTTTTTGAAATATAATATGCATAATAATGTATATCAAATTAATACATTTAATTTACAACTTAGTTTTAAGTTGTTAATTTAGAAACATCGTAAAGTAGTTAAAAATAAAAAATATTTCAAATTATAATTAATTAATTATTTTTTATATTAATATAAAATTAAGTTAATTTTTTTATCATTTTTTGTAAACATATATTGTAATTGTTTTTTTCATACAATTTTATTAGTTTAAACAGATAATTAAATATCTTTATATACAAGAATATAATAAAACAATTCATTAAAATTTGTGATCAATTTTTGGCCGATACCTAAAAAATGGCGGCAAAATATGTGGAAAAAGTGGATCCAATGGATGAAATCAAATCAGTATTAAATGATTTAAAAGAATTGAATGAAGAGGTCATTCAATTTAAGGAAACCGATTGTAATATGAAATACCGATTAATCAATGATATGCTGAGCCGTTGTATGACTAGACTGTACACTATTGACACCGACGACGGCAATGATGATGGCGTCCGTATGGCCCGTAAGGAAGCAGTTGTCGCCGTCCAGAAGTGTAAAGATTTGTTGGACAAGAAGTTAGTCGACAATAATAATGAAACAAAATTAAGTAATACTGATATCAATGACAAGTCGTTAACCGAGATGTCGACTACGGAAACAATTGATGTCAACATAGGTTTGATAAATAAATGACAAATAGTTTACTATTAATTAGTGTTTAATATATATTATACGAAATTATATAAATATAAAACTTTAAAATTTATAAGAAATAAAATACAATTAATATCAGTAAATTAGTGAATTAGTAGATTTTATTGTTTTATTAAAATAATAAAATTAAAGTATGTGTGTGTAGGTGGGTGGGTGTGGGTGTGTATGGAAATTATATTAAACTAATTGTATAATTTTTTAATAATATCTGGTATTTTTTAACATTTAGATGACATAAATGTTATGAAAAATTTGAAAATTGAAACTACAAAGAATATCATTGAAGATAATCTATTGTCACAAATCAATTCAATAATGAGTGAACTGAAAATATTGGATTCAAAAGTTGATGGTATTTATGGTACAGTCAATGATGACAAACAATACCAAAATTTGGATCATTTGTTAAATAATTGTCTTACAAGACTCGACAATATTGACAGTTCAGGCAATGAAACGGTTCGTAAGGCCCGTAAGGAAGCCGTTATTGCCGTTCAGAAATCAACCGATTTGTTGAAACAAAAGTATTTTATTAATAAAGATAAACAGGAAAGTAAGCCACAGATAACACTGCTACTATTGGGAGAGACAGGTGTAGGAAAATCAACATTTATTAATGCATTTCTTAATTATATGATGTTTGAAAAAATGGATGAAGCGATCAACAAATTGGTTTGTTTGATACCAACAAAGTTCACACTAACCGATCCGGAAACTGATTTGGATAAGGAGTGTACGTTTGGTTTACCAAATGATTCAGAAAACACAACAAAAACTAGTGAATCTGCCACTCAATACCCCCGATGTTATACATTTGATTTAGGCCACTATCGGCTCAACATTATCGATACGCCCGGTATTTGCGATACTGACGGTCTGGATAAAGACAAACGAAATATACAGAATATTCTCAATTTTATATCCAATTATAATACTATTAATGCTATTTGTTTGTTACTAAAGCCAAATCAGTCGAGAGGTACCACTCAGTTCATGTATACTATAAACGAGTTGTTGTCTCATTTGAACAAATCGGCCGCCGATAACATAATGTTTGTCTTCACCAATGCTCGGAGCACTTTCTACGCACCGGGAGATACAATGGTACCGCTTAAGGCTGCACTTGAAAAGATCAAACTGAGTCCTCCATACACTGCCATCAAGTTTGACAAAAGTAATAGATTTTGTTTCGATAACGAATCGTTCCGTTATTTAGTAGCCGTCAGTCAACCAAATAATATTAAGTTTGATGAAGATATTCAAAAATTATACGCAAATAGTTGGGAAAGGTATTGATATTTTTTTGTTGATTTAAGAATTTTAAGCTATTATTCTTAAACATTAGTATTTTAAAAGTTAAATTACTTATAATTTATATTTGTAATTATAGATCAGTTAATGAATGCTTGCGAATGATGAGTTATATTAGTGATGTAAAGCCACACAACGTTAAGGACACTCTAAGCGTCAATGAAGCTAAACGTACCATCAAATTGTTGACACAACCGTTGGCTGATATCACCCAAAACATTGCCGACAATATCAACGAATGTCAGATAAGAAAGAAAAAAATGGAAGAATTTGATGGCAATATTGAAGAACTAAAACGCGAACTCTATATACCAGTTGTCGAGATCGAGTCCATACCGTTAGACTATCCGATGACTGTTTGCGAGGACAAGAACTGTGTGGAGATTGTGGTGATTGACGGCCAATCGTTCAAACATTATCGGCAATTATGTCACGAACATTGTTACCTAAATTTCGACGACGGAAATGTTGTCGGAAATATCGGACTATTAAAGTGTCAGGCATTCAACTTTTGGAAAAATTTCGACAAATGTCTGGAATGCGGACACAGTTATAAAACTCATTTGCATGTAAAATATGAGACCAGAAAAGTCGACTCAAAACGCAGAGATGATTTCAAATATAATCTGATTACTGATAAACAGCAGGCATTGAGTGCACAGAAAGCAATTGTTACCAAATTGACAGACAGACAACTAGAATACGAAAATGAGAGTAAAATTATCAACGAATGTATGGCAGAGTTCGCAGCTTTTCTCAAACATAACGCAATGACACCGTTTAACGACGCTTTCGAAGACTATGTCAAACACATGATTGAAGTCGAAAAGCATAAGCTGTCACTTGTGCCGGAAGAAAGTAGACAATCGGTGGAACAGTTGGAACAAATGCTTAGACAATATCAACACGAAAAGATGGTCATTCAAGAGTCGATGATTAGAGGAGACAAGTATTCAGCCGTCACTTTGGATGATATTAATAAATGTTTGAACAGATTGTATGAATTACCGATTTATGGCCAAAAAATACGACAACTGTTGTCAATGCAATTAACTATTAACGATAAAATCTATACTAACTCTGGTTATCACTATGTTATTGAAGTGCCGATTAACACAACTGATAATACATTAGTTAACGGAGTGAAAAATGTTTACAATAAAGTCAAAAAATGGTATAAAAATATTATATAAGAATATTACATACAAACATATTATTAAATAATATATATAAATTATAAATATTCCTAAATATTAATAAAATTAATGAAAATTATTAGTTATCAATATCAATCTATCAATAATTATATAATATTGAGATTATTCAAAATATTATTGTTATTATTAAATATTTAATTATTATTTATAGTTTAATTAATTTATTATTAAAATATATCAATTAAAATATTAATTTCCAAAATTTGCTAAACAGCGCCTGCTAAATTTTTAATTGAAGTTTCAAAACAATAATTGCTTTTTGTTTTTTATTTGTTTACTGTTTCTAATAATAATAATAACATATTAAAGTATAGTATACAATATTAAAAACATTTGTATTTTAATGATATCTATAGTATAGAATCATTGTATTATTTTATAAGTATATTAAAATTATTTAAATTAAAAGTATTTATTATATAATATTATATATATATATAAATTTATAGTATGTTATTACTATTAATTATATTCTATTTATTCAATGTATTTAAACACTTACCGTAAAATCGTGTTTTATTTCCCATAAGGAATTAAAAAAAAAATCAAAAATAACATTTTCATATTGTAAAAAACTCGCATTTTTTGACCACCCATGGTTAATTAAACGAATCTGTGGGGAAAGCAGAATAGGGACTGCAATGACAGATAATTAACAGTAATCTATTAAAACCGGTAGATATTACCGGTAATTAATTAATTAGTTATAACAATGTTTTACAATAAATGACTTTTGTATGGAATTAGAGTATTTTTATATATTATAAATCGGTAAATAGATAGCATATTCAAACGGTTTGGAACAACTAGAGACGTCCAAATATAAGGGGTGAGAAATCTTGAAAATATATTTAAAAAACAGGTATAATAAATTATTATTAAAAGTAAAAAACTATATTTTTCTTATGGGAGTAAACTCACATTATTCCCCATGACTTTAACATTTCCATATGGAAGAGAAAACACAATTTAACGGTACATTACTAGTAATACAATAATTTAAATATCAATAACATAAAAACAATCTCTTATGTGGAGTATTAACTTACTTGTCCAATTACAATCAAACATTATCGGCAATTTTGTCACTATAATTGTTATCTAAACTTAGACAATGAAAATGTTATCCGGAATTTCGGTATATCACGTCGTTTGGGTATTCGGTGGTCAACTAATTTGCCAATAGTGTGGACATAGCTATATGACACACTTAGACGTCAGATATGAGACCAGAAACGCAGGGATGAGTTCAAGTATAGTCTAATAACTGATAAACAGAAGGCTTTGGAAGCACAACAGGAAATGGTTAAGCAATTGGAGGACAGACAGATTGAATACGAAAATGAGAGTAAAATTATTAATGAATGTATGGCAGAGTTTGCAGCCTTTCTCAAACACAACGCAATGACACCGTTTAACGACGCTTTCGAGGATTACGTCAAACATCTAATTAAAGTCTAAGAATACAATGTTTCACTCGTTTCGGGATAAAGTAGACAATCGGTGGAACAATTGGAACTAATCCTAAAACAATATCAACACGAAAAGTGTGTTATTTTGGATTCAATGAAAAAGGGATACAACTATTCTGGCATTACTTTAGATGACATTAACAATTCAGTGAATAAGTTGTATAAATTGCCTATTTATGGCCAAAAGATAAAGCAGTTAATGAATATGCAATTAATGATTGGCCACAAAATATACAGTAATTTTCAACAACATGTCATTGAAGAGCCAGTTAACACATATAATAGACACATTTTTTTAAATGCTGTAAATCAGTTAAAAGAAATGCTTATAACAGATATAAATATTTATTAAAAATTGCGGAACTTTTTACACATTTATAATTAACTCAATGAAAAAATTTGTTATGTTTTAGATAATTATTAACTAAAATTAAGTAAAAATTGTGGAATATTTATTAAAATTTTATTTTAAAAGTAAAAATAAATATACGATTTGAAAGTAAGCTATCAATGCATGTGAAATTAAACTATTAATTGTTTAATAAAATATAATGAAATATAATTAAATAATTATTATTATTAAATATTTTATTATTTTTTTTAATTTTTATAATAAATTATATCTCTATTTTTAATAAAGATTTTACAATATACAGTATATGCCGATATAAAGTTATGATTAATTTTATTTTTATTAATTATTTAATTATCAATAATATTATTACTGTCATATTTAACTTTATATAATAAAGATTATTTTTTAAAATCTAAATAACAATTTAAAAAAATTCATGCTTATTATTAAAGCATATATATATAATATATGAATATAAATAATTAATATACTAGCTAATTTTAAATTTAATTATATATCTACTTTATTTGTGAGAATTTACTGAAAAATAAATTTTAATTAATCACCATTAAAATAATATTTTATTTTATAATTACATAAATATGTTTTACAATAAACTATTAATACAAAATTCATAAATATTTATTCAAAAAAAACAATCTATAGTTTTAAAACATACTAAATTAATAGGTATTATATTACAGTACAGTAATATTTATTAATAAATGTTGACTACATAGCATCAAATATGTTAGCTAACTATGATTTGTAATCATTTATTACATTATTATAAATTGATATAAAACAGTATATATAATATATTTATAATTTGAGATAAGACAGTATAGCATAGAGTAGTTAAAAATAATTGTTTATTTGATGCCATTTTTTAAATAAATCAAAATATATACTTTTATAACAACTTTAAAGTAATAATTATTATTTTAAATTTTAATTAATTTTTTTTAATATAAAATTAAGTTTTTTTTATCTGTAAACATTTATATTGTAATTGTTATTTCATACAATTTTATTAGTTTAAACAGTTAATTAAATATCTTTATATACAAGAATATAATAAAACAATTTGTAAAAATTTGTAATCATTTTTCTGGCCGATACCTAAAAAATGGCGGCAAAATATGTGGAAAAAATGGATCCAATGGATGAAATCAAATCAGTATTAAATGATTTGAATGAATTGAATGAAGAGGTCATTGAATTTAAGGGAACCGATCGTAATATGAAATACAGATTAATCAATGATATGCTGAGCCGTTGTATGACTAGACTATACACTATTGACACCGACGGCGGCAATGATGATGGCGTCCGTATGTCCCGTAGAGCAGCCGTTGTCGCCGTCCAGAAGTGTATTGATTTGTTGGATAAAAAATTAGACGAAAATACTAAGAGACAAAAACTGAGTATAACTGATGGCAATGACAAACCGATTGCCGAGATATCGACTACGGGACCAATTGCTGTGGCCATAGGTTTGTCAACAAAAAAAATACATTAAATATATTCCTATTAATTAGTATTGTTTTTTAAACAAATATTTTTTTACATTTATTATATATATTTATATATGTCTTTTCTAGAAAAAAATATTTTCCAATTAAGTGAATGTGATATTAATAAAAATAAAGCCATCATATTGAATGATAAATTAAATAATCAGGTAAATACATTATAATAATTTATATAATTTATATAATACTTTATTTATTTAATTTTTTTAACATAATTTAATCGACAAAAATAAGTCAAAATTAGGTATTACTGAAAATAATGACAAACCTATTGATATGTTATCGATAATTGAACCAATTGATGTGATCATAAGTTTGTAAACTTAAATAACAATTATTATATAATAAAGTTTATTACTTTATTGTTGGCTATATTAATTTAATCATATTTTTTATATAATTTTAGATAAAAATGCTACAAAATTAAATAAACAAATTGATGAAATTGTCATAAAATTAGAAAAATTCGATCACCAGGTTAGTTATATATATTTAAATATATTATATTTAAAAAAAATATTTAAAAATATAATTATAATATGTATATATATATTACATTAAGTATTGATACTAATTTAATTATATAAAAAATAATAGGAAAATAAGTCAGAGATTACTATGTTATTATTGGGTGAGTCGGGTGTCGGCAAATCAACATTTATTAATGCATTTGTCAATTATCTAATGTTTGACAAAATGGATGACGCGATTAACCGATCAGTTTGTTTGATACCCGCAAAGTTTACACTAACGGATTGGGAAACTGGAGAAAGTAAGGTCTGTACGTTTGGTTCGCCGAGTGATACGGAAAATACTGAAATAACCAGTGAATCGGCCACACAATACCCCCGATGTTATACATTTGATTTTGGCGACTATCGGCTCAATATTATCGATACGCCCGGTATTGCCGATACTAAAGGATTGGATAAAGACAACCGAAATATGCAGAATATTCTGAACTTTATATCCAATTACAACACAATTAATGGTATTTGTGTACTATTAAAGCCAAATGAAGCAAAAGTTAATGTAATATTCAAGTATTGTATACTTGAATTGTTATCTCATTTGAACAAATCGGCCGCCGATAACATAATGTTTGTGTTTACCAACGCTCGGAGCACTTTCTATGCACCGGGAGATACAACTGTTGCACTCAAGGATGTACTGAATAAAGTTGGACAGTATCCGCCATATGTTAACATTAAGTTTGATAAAACTAATACATTTTGTTTCGATAACGAATCGTTTCGTTATTTAGTGGCCGTCAGTCAACCAAATAATATTAAATTTAATGAAAATATTCAAAATTTATTTGAAACAAGTTGGGATAGGTATAAGCATTTAATTTAATAGATTAACTATTTGTTAATTTATATTATAAAAATATTTGCAAAGTTATAATTGTATATTTTGGAATAGATATTTGATTTGTAACTAAAATATTAATATATTTATAGATCAGTTAATGAGTGCTTACGAATGATGCGATATATATTTGATGTAAAGCCACACAATGTTAGGGACACTTTAAGCATCAATGAGACCAAACGTACCATTAAATTGTTGACACAACCGTTGGCTGATATCACTGAAAATATTGCCGACAATATCAAGAAATGTCAGATACAGACGGAAAAAATATTACAATTTAGAGGCAATATTGAAGAATTGAAACGCGAACTCTATATACCAGTGGTTGAGATCGAGTCTAAACCATTGGATCATCCGATGACTGTTTGTTCAGATAATAATTGTTGTGAACTAATGAATATTAACGGACAGGTAGTCAAACATTATAGACAAGTGTGTCATAACAAGTGTTACTTAGAGTACGACGACGGAAATGTTGTCGGAAATGAAGGTCTATTAGACTGTCAGGCATTCAATGAATATAAACTAATAAGTATGCACTTTGAATGTATATATTTTTTAAAAAAATTAAAAATAATAATTTAAAATTATAGGAATTAATGGTTTTAAAATAAAAACTACAAATTATTAATAGTATATTTATTATATTTTAGATATTAGTTTAAATATAAATTTACAGTTAATACAAGTTTAATTTTTTTTTAATTTTATTTATTATTTAAGGAACTAAATTTATTAAACCAGAAAATGCAAAACTTTATCCGGATCAAAACAAAACTATAACAGTAGATCCCGAAACTGGTTTAATGAAAGTTAATAAAAGTAAACGTATAAAGTATGATAATTGTCAACAATGTGGACACAGTTATGAGACACATCTACACATCAAATATAAGACCAGAAAAGTAGAGTCAAAGCGCAGGGATGAGAGTAAGTATAATATGCTAAACAATAATAAGAAAGCAATAAAAGCACAGAAAGAGATTGTTGAGGAATTGACGGACAGACAGTTAGAATACGAAAATGAGACCAAAATAATTACCGATTGTATGGCAAAGTTTGCCGCTTTTCTCAAACTGAATGCAATGACACCGTTTAACGACGCTTTCGAAGATTATGTCAAACATCTGATTAGAGTCGAAGAGTATAACATATCACTTGTTCCGGGAGAAAGTCGACAATCAGTGGATCAGTTGAAATCAATATTAAAACAATACCAACACGAAAGAGATATCATATTGAAGTCAATGATAAAAGGTGTCAACTATTGTACAGTCAATTTGGAAGACATTGATAACTGTTTGAATAATTTGTATAAATTACCCATTAATGGACATAAAATACAGGAGCTGTTAAATATGCAATTAATTATTTGCGACAAAATACACACTAATTTACAACAACAACAACATGTTATTAAAGTACCGGTTAATAGTTCAAACATTATTGTAAAACTGGGTAAAAGTGTTTATAAAGCTATAAAACGAAAAATATTATTATAAATATAAAAAACAGTAATAATACAAAATACAGTACATATTATAATTTTATTTTAATAATTAATATATAATAATTTAAATTTGTAAATTTAGCATTAATTCTAAATTTTGATATAATTATTTATTTACCTTATTTAAAAATTGATTAATTATTAATAAGAATATAAAATAAATTATTTTTAATTTTACAATATATATATATATATATATATAAATGTAAATTTTAAATATAATTAGAAATAGACTATTTTTATTTTATGGACTTAGATCACTAATAATAATTTGAAATATCATAAAACAATCGCATGTAATATATAATGTTATACAATTTTAGATAATTAATATACATAATTTTATTTTAATTAATGTACTATATAATTAACATTAATGTACTAGATTATTTTTAATTTAGTTGTATATTTATGGGCATTTGTTTTAAATTAATTTTAACTTAGCATAAATATTTAAATCTAGAAGGATTACATAAATATATTTAACAATGAATTACTAAATTGATAACTTTTTTTACTGTTATTATTATTGTTATTTATAATCAGTAAATATGTAGTTTTAAAACATAAAACATTTCTAAACAAATATAAAATTATTTATTACATATACAGTATTATATTACAGTAAAGTAAACATGTATTAATAATGTTGACTACAACATATCATCACATATGTTTGATAACTATAATTAGTAATCATAACGTATATTACACTATTATAAATTAAAACTAATTTATGATATATTTATATTATACATGTATATAATGTAATTTAAGATAAGACAGTAAAGCGCAGTGCATTTAAATATAATAAATAATTTTTTATTTGATGCCATTTTTAATAAAAAATAATAAAATAAAATATTTATTTAGCAATAAATCAAAAACGACAATAAAGTAATGATTATTTATAATTCTAATTCTAATTATTTAATTTTTAAATATTAACTATTAAAATAGAATTTATATAATTATTATTTATAAAACATACTTAACATAAAATTAAAAAATAAAATTTAAAATTAAAATTTTATAACAATTTTATCTCTTTATATACAGTAAACCAAACAAACAAAATTTGTGATCAATTTTTTTGCCGAAATCTGAATAATGGCTGCAAAATATGTCGATAAAGTGAATCCAATTGATGAAATCAAATCAGTATTAAATGATTTAAATGAATTGAATGAAGAAGTGATTGAATTTAAGGGAACCGATCGTAATATGAAATACAGATTTTTGAATGATATGCTGAGCCGTTGTATGACAAGACTGTACACTATTGACACAGACGGCGGCAATGATGATGGCGTCCGTATGGCCCGTAGAGCAGCCGTTGTCGCCGTCCAGAAGTGTATTGATTTGTTGGAGAAAAAATTAGCCGAAAATAATGAGAAAACAAAAAAACTGAGTATAACTGATATAAATGACAAACCGATTGCCGAGATATCGACTACGGAACCAATTGCTGTGGCCATAGGTATGTCAACAACAAAAAATAACACATAGTTTCCTATTAATTAGAATTTAATGATTACTTTTTTTAGTAATTAACTAAATTTATTTATATATATTATGCTATTTTTAATTTGTACTAAAATTCATTTAAAAAATCTATGTGTGATTTATTTTCTAGAAAAAAATATTGTTCAATTAAGTGGATGTGCTTATAATAAAAATTCTACCAAGATAAAATCTAACATATCAACTAACATGGTTAATCATAAATTAAATTTAATAAAAACTTAATTTTAATACAAGTTATTTAATTTTGTTTTTTTTGTGAACAGAACTTAATAGATGAAAATGATATAAAATTAAGTAATACTATAATTACTGACAAACAGATGACTGAGATGTCGACTATGGATCTGATGGATGTTAACATAAATGGTTTGAATATTTTGATATATTTAATAAAAATTTATTTTTTTAAAAATACAGGATTATAATAGAAAAATTATTTTATATATAAACAATTATACAATTTTACTGTATTTTACAGATTTAAATGATTCAGACACTGATGAACAGGTCAATGATCTAATAAGCAAATTTGAAAAAATTGATCAAAAGGTTAATCATATTTTAATTAAAAAAAATTTATTACAATAATAATTATTTAAATTATTGTCAATCTATTAGGAAAATGATTATCGGCCACAAATAACATTGTTATTGTTGGGTGAGTCGGGTGTCGGCAAATCAACATTTATCAATGCATTTGTCAATTATCTACTGTTTAACAAAATGGATGACGCGATTAAAAATCCCATTTGTTTGATACCAACAAAGTTTACACATTGGGAACAAGGAGTCCGTAAGGTTTGTACGTTTGGTACGCCCAGTGATACGGAAAATAATGATAATACCAGTGAATCTGCTACACAATACCCCCGATGTTATACATTTGATTTTGACTTATATCGGCTGAATATTATCGATACGCCCGGTATTGCCGATACTAAAGGCTTGGATAAAGACAACCGAAATATGCAGAATATTCTGAATTTTATATCCAATTACGACACTATTAATGGTATTTGTGTGCTATTGAAACCAAATGAGGCCAGAGTTAGCGTTATATTCAAGTATTGCATACTTGAGTTGTTGTCTCATTTGAACAAATCGGCCGCCGATAACATAATGTTTGTGTTTACCAACGCTCGGAGTACTTTCTACGCACCGGGAGATACAACTGTAGCATTGGATGACGTACTTCAAAAAGTACGACAGCGCCCGCCATATGTTAGGATCAAGTTTGACGAAAGCAATACATTTTGTTTCGATAACGAGTCGTTTCGTTATTTAGTGGCCGTCAGTGAACCAAATAATATTAGTTTCACTAAAGATATTCAAATATTATATGAAAATAGTTGGAAAAGGTATTCTGTAATTGTTATTTTTATTTTATTTATTACTTTTATACAAATAAAAGTTAATTCAATGAAATTTTACAACAAAAAAATATATATAAATATTATATTTATAGATCAGTTAATGAATGCTTACGAATGATTAGATATATATTTGAAGTAAAGCCACACATTGTTAGAGACACTCTTAGTATTAATTCGGCCAAACGTACCATCAAATTGTTGACACAACCGTTGGCTGATATCAGTAAAAATATTGCCGACAATATCAAAGAATGTCAAAAACAAACGGAAAATATATTGAAATTTAAAGGAGATATTGAAGACCTGAAACGTAAACTTTATATACCTGTTGTTGAAATAAAGACCATACCATTGGACCATCCGATGACTGTTTGCTCAGATAATGATTGTTGTATATTAACTAATATTAACGGACAGTTAGTTAAAGATTATAAGCAAAAATGTCACGACAAATGTTACCTGAAGTATGACGACGGAAATATTATGGGAAATACTGGACTATTGGATTGTCAGGCATTCAATATTTATAAAGATATATGTATGTTATCTATAGTATTATTTTTACAATAATACAATTAGTATAATAATTTTTTTTAATCGGCTAAAATTTGATCAAAAAATAACTTTATTATACTAAATATATTTACTTTTATAATATTTCATAAACTTATATATTTTTTAATTAGGTATAAATATTCAAATAATTTATTTTAACTAAAAATTATATAAGTTTATGAAATATTTAGTATATATTATATTTTAGTATATAAGTAAATATATTTAGTATAATAATGATTAAATTATTATACTAATTATACCATTGTAAAAATAATTTAATTGAATATTTATACCAGCATTTAGTGTGATTAAGCCTAAAGATTTAAATATCAATGAACTACATCCGGATCAAAATGTTAACCATGGAGTGAATCCGATTACTGGATTAATTAGATTGATTTGTTCGGAACGAGTAAAACATGAAAATTGTCAACAATGTGGTCACAGTTATAAAACACACTTACATGTCAAGTATGAGACCAGAAAAGTCGATAGAAAACGCAGAGATGAGAGTAAATATGCAAAGATTACTACTAATCAAAAGGCTGTAGAAGCGCAACAGGAAATTGTTAGAGAATTGATAGACAGACAGTTAGAATATGAAAATGAAAGCAAATTCATAACCGATTGTATGGCAAAGTTTGCCGCTTTTCTCAAACTGAATGCAATGACACCGTTTAACGACGCTTTCGAAGATTATGTCAAACATCTGATTAGAGATGAAGAGTACAATCTGACACTAGAGTCGGGTGAATGTCGACAATCAGTGGATCAGTTGAAATCAATATTAAAACAATACCAACACGAAAGGGATGTCATATTGGAGTCAATGAAAAGAGGAGACAAGTATTCAGTCGTCAATTTGGAGGACATTGATAATTGTGTTAATAAATTATACAATTTGCCATTGAATGGCAAAAAGATACAGGAGCTACTGAATATGCAATTAACTATTAGTGACACAATTCATGCTAATGGACAGCAACAACGTGTTATTGAAATACCGGTTAACAGTACTAACAGTACTGTAAAACTGGGTAAAAGTTTTCTCAAAGCTCTCAAAAATTTTTACCGTAAATTATAATATAATTATAATTTAATTAATTAATAACCAATAATTATAATTATTGTATTAAACAAATCTATTAGCTATTCTTTTAATATATTGTTTGGGTAATTACTAATATTTATTTTTAAAAAATATAATTATTATTAATAGTATTATTGATGATTGTATTTAATAATAAACAAATATAATAATAAATTATAATTAATAATTTAGATTATTTATTATTATATTTTATAATAATATAAATTTTAATTCCTTATAAATCGTATTTTTATGTTTATTAATTTATTATTTTTAATGTTATTATATATCTGGATTTATACAATATAATTGATGTAAACTATTTATTCAATACAATAATTACATTGTATTATAATTTATAATTTATAACCAGACATTTAAAAAGCAAAATAATATTTTTCAATTAATATTTATCACACTATAACTTTAAAGTATTAAGTTTTTATATGAATAATTAATGATATATATTGTCAAATCTAGTAAAAATGTGTTTAAAAAATTGAAAAAATATTACATAAATAAAAAATAATTAATTATTTATATAACTAATTATTAATATTAATATAGTAACTACAGTATTAAAAGTTTACAAATTTAATTGTTAGCTGTAAATTTACTACTAATTTATACACAATTATTTATAAACTTTGACAACATGTATTCAATTATAATTTTAAAATATTACCAAATTAAATATTTCTATTAAATCAAATTAATTAACTTTTTTATTTTTAAACTAAAATATTAATTTTCGAATAGATTAAAAAACTCTGTCATTACTTTTATCTCAAATTTTAAATAATGTATATAGAAATATAATTTATTGAATTAATACAAAATATAGTCTATGAAAAAAATACATCAGTGGATAATAAGCAAAAATCTGGTAATAAAATAAACGATGCTATCTTAAAAAAAATATGAAAAACTACATTACATACAAGTAAATCATATTAAAAATAAAAATAATTTTTATTTTATTATTTATAAATTATCTTTTAAAGAATAATCCAGAAAGTCATCCACGGCTAACACTGTTGTTATTGGGTGAGTCGGGTGTCGGCAAATCAACATTTATCAATGCATTTGTCAATTATCTAATGTTTGACAATATGGTCGCATCGACCGATTAAGAACCCGATTTGTTTGATACCAACAAAGTTCACACTAACCGATCCGGAAACTGGTGAACGAAAAGTTTGTACGTTTGGTGAGCCGAGTAATACAGAATATACCGATAATCCAAACAATTCGTGACACACAATATCCACGATGTTATGCATTTGATTTTGGTGTCTATCGTCTAAATATTATCGATACGCCCGGTATTGCCGATACTAAAGAATTGGATAAAGATAACCGAAATATGCAGAATATTCTGAATTTGATTATCGCATTTCAACACTATTAACGGTATTTGTGTGCTATTGAAACCTAATGAGTCCAGAGTAGGCGTTACGTTTAATTATTGTATACTTGAATTGTTGTCTCAATTGAACAAATCGGCCGCCGATAACATAATGTTTGTGTTTACCAACGCTCGGAGCACTTTCTATGCACCGGGAGATACAGCCGTAGCACTCGAGGATGTGATTCAATATATTCAAAAGAGACCGCCATTTGTTAAAATTAAATTTAATAAAACTAATACATTTTGTTTCCATAGCGAGTCTTTCCGTTATTTGGTAGCTGTCAGTGAACCCAATAATATTAGATTCACTAAATATCTTCAAATATTATATAAGAATAGTTGGAAAAGGTATAGATTTAAAAATATTTATTAAATCTGTTTACTGTATATACAGTACCTGTATATATGATATAATATATACTTAAGAATAACATTTTAAGATCGCTTAAGAAATGCTTACGAATTCATGTACTATATATGCGAAGTAAAACCAAACAATATTAGGGACACTTTAAACATAAATTTTTATTAAAAAAAATATTTCAATATTTTATCTGTTTATATTTGTATTATAATTTTAAAATTGTAAATTACATTCAGTACATTGTATTTTACTGTATTTTACAAAAACAAAAATTGAAATTCTTGTATTTTTCCAACCCTGACGAGTACTGTATAAATGCTATTATATATAGAATACATTGACACTAGAGGTTTATCCGTGAAAAAGTGATAATCAAATATTTTACTATATATTTTATACTAAAATTGCTTTTATATATAAAAAAAAATTGGGTTCACAATCTAAAATCTAATCTTATATATAAAATTACAAAAAATAAATTTTAAAAAGCTATAAAATATTGATAATAATAATAATCTTCAAACATTTTAAAGAACTTAAATTTAAATTAATTAAATTATTACTTAATTAATTTTCATTATTGTCTACTTTTCGTTTAAACAAATCGTTTTCAACAAACTTTTAATTAAAATAATTTTTTAATCAGTGCTTTATGTCATACAATAATAACTACATTACTTTAGCTTTTTATGTAACTATTATATTATTTATTTTAATATTAATAACTATAACTATAATTATTTAGTAAGTAGAATATTAACTAAAAATTATATAAACCGATATATAATATAATATCTACTAATTTTACTAAATTCAATGAACCAGCAATCTATAAGAATTTTAATTTCTTTACAAAATGTCAATGATAAAAAAACAGAGATATTAATTATAAATTATTATATAGTGATATATTAGAAAAGTTTATTTCTGGAATGCATTATAATTAGAGATGGGCAAATAGAAAGTTTCTAATAAATTTCCGTGAGAAAGTTTCTAAAAAATTTATCAGGAATAAATTTCTATAGAAATTTAACTTTATTGTTATACTATGGGATCCCCATATCTATAGTTATTGTAATATTATGGATATTAAAAAATAATAATATATATTGCATATATATTATAGTGTTTTGTAGTTTATTTTATATAATTGGTTAGTGTAGGACGGCCCATGATGGTCATACCACTCCCCTCCAATGGTTTATATAAGTCAACCGAACCCTATTTGAGGGTCACTTGGTTTATGTTCACTTACTTACTTCGTCACTTAGTTTTTATATGAGTTCCCTGAGCCCAGTCTCTCAGACTGAGGGTTAATCAAGATGTATTTTACTTAGTATTTTACATTTGTTAACTAATATTAATAATCAACAATAAAGTTTATATTATTATACATTTTAATTGTGTTTTAATAAACAATTCATACAACTATACTGGTGCTGGTGAGTGGGTGGCGCACGAAACGCTACCACCGCCCAAATCGGGCAATCATTGGTTTCAACAAATGGACGCGTTTGGCGAGTGCTCTACTTTAAAGACCAGTTGTACGACCGGTGCAGCCTTCAGAAGCCGCTAAACCGAGTTCAGCGCAGCGCTTGTATAACAAAGTATATGTTATGTTGTAGATATAATATTATACAAAACAGTATAGTACAGTACTATACAAATGTGATAACTATATATAAAATAATTATAATTATTTAATAATTAATTTTGTAAAATTGTATTCATCATTTTATTATATATATCATACTGTAATTTAATTAATTAATATTTTACTTTAATTAATAATTATAATAATAATAATAATATTTACGGTAATATATTATTTATGATAGTATATCGAAATAACAAAATTAAATTGGGAATCCCATAGATAGAAATTTCTTTTAGAAACTTTCTAGAAATTTCTCTATTATTTTATAAATTTCTCTTTTTTGACAACACTAACTATAGTATTCTAACTGGTATTTAAATGTCATAGTATTAATGTAAATTAAAAAAAATTATATAATATAATTTCTACTAATTTTACTAAATTCAATGAATCGGCAATCTATAAGAATTTTAATTACTTATCAAAATTTCAATGCCAAAAAACAGATATATTAATTATAATGATATATTAGAAAAGTTTATTACACTATAGTAGTCAAGTAAATCAAAAAAAATTTATTAAATAATTTTTAATTAATTATAATATAATGATTTTTCAAAAAATAATATAATATATTCACTTATAATAGTATATAAACTATGTATACATTACTATACTATATTTTATACTATACATAATAAATATAACAATTAATAATTTTTTATTTAAAAGATAAATAACTAATATATCTTTTTATAAAAAATAATGAATAAAATTATACCCGAAGATTACGTTACACTTAAATACAAATTGGATTCATTTCATTTAGAGTCAATTAATTTGATTTTAAATCGAAAAAGGTTTTTTTAAATTATTTAAATAATAATTTTTTGTAATAAATTAAAATCACTTATTAAATGTTCAGTTCCTATGATCTTATTGTCGACGATGGCTGCGGTGACGGCAATGTTAGCAAAATATTGTCAACACAAGTACCCCATAAAAAACTGATAGCCATTGATGTGAACCAGGGGTTACTAAAGTATGCCAAAAGTTATAATAACAGTCCGACCATTGAGTTTTTCCAACAGGACATGACTGTCGGGTGGCCAGAGTTGAGTCCAAGTTTTCGGGAAATGGCTGGTAAAGTGGATCTCGTATTTACCAGTTTTATGCTACACTATTGTAGTAGTGATAAGCGGCAAGTGATGGCCATATTTAGACAGTTATTGAAATCGGATGGACTATTCTGTGGCAATATATTGATTAATCAGGATTTGAATAGAAAATTGTTGGCCAATAAGGAAAAGAGTTCAAAACAATGGTATCCATCACTGGACAGACAGACTGATGAATGGCTAAAAAGTTTAACAGAAAACAAGTTTGTAATTCAAGAGTCAAAACTAATTGAATTGAATGTTACGTTGAATCGCAAACAGATTATTGGTATTTATTCTATATTTAAATAGTATTTAAGTTAATTAATTAATAACTTGTTTTTAATTTTGATTAAACAACAACAAACATCAATAGACTTTATGCCAGTAGTGGTTGACTGTTATCGATGCTATTTTCCGGATCGCCAACAGTTTGACGCCGAAGTTGGCGACCACTTGTGGGAC